GTTTTTAATTATTTTTTTGTGAAATATTTTTTTCGGATATTTATTTCTAATTGGAAAAGCGGAGAGAGATAGAGATCTCTTTTGCGAAACAAAGTTTTTTTTTTAATGATTTGTATACTTATTTTTAAGAAAAAATTTATTGTAACTATTTTAAATAAATTGTAAAAACGAAAATCATTTTTATATATTAGTAAAATATTAATTTTTCTTAATTTTCAAAGATAAAATTGGGATTTAGAAATATGAAAGGTTATTGGAACAAACAATCATAGGTAGAAGGTTAATTTACAAAACGCTAATTCAAACTGAGTCAATTTAGCAAATTTCTCAAAAAATTACGATGTTAACTAAAAAAATTGTAATTAAAATTGTTTTATGAAATAGTCCGAATTGTAAACTAACATATCATTTATGTAAAGTTTTAAATGAATTAAAATTGAAAATTTTCTGTAAACATTCAAGTTGTTTTAGGTAGTCAAACAAAAAAGTCGGTTTTTAGAGTACAAATTTCTTAGGAAAAGATAAACAACTTTTTGTTTGATAAAACATTTCACTTCCATTCAAATTTTTACTGTTTAAAAATAATAGAGGGCTGGAGTTATTAATAGTTCCCATATATAAACAGTCATCATTAACAGAAAAAGGTCAAAAAGGCAAAAAAAATTTTGTCTGGACGCTTAACAAACTTAATTCAAAGACTACTTTTCATATTCCCAATTGTGGACTACTACTAATTAATCATTATTTCTTTTTGTCTTTAAAAAAAAAAGAAGGAAAGAGAGTTAATAAAAGAGAGCTCACGAGATTCTTGCTTTCGTCTTCGTAAATTGTTAACGAATCTCCCGTCTCTACTCCATTTTTTTTCACAAATTCCCCTTTAATATGCACCAACAAACAAAGTGAAGAAAAGTAATTTATAATTAAAATACCTTTAGAAACTAATATTTATAATGAGTATCAGAGCACAATAAATATTACCTGTGTTTTCGAGGACATACATTCTGCTCTTGTTATTGGACCAGAACCTAAGTTTCACAATAAACAAGCTTTTAAGTCATCTAGTTCTAAAATCATTTAAAACTGATAATTTTTTTTTTTGATCACTATGAAACTGATATCAATTGGTAATCAATATGGATTTAATAACAAAATGCGTATTTTATATATAATTTATCTCATATCATATATTTTATGGAAAAAATATGAAATGAGACTTAACTTGTATTTGAAAGACCAAGAGCTCATAGAGTCAGCATCTCTCATCTCTACTATTATTCCTTCTTTATCAGTTAGCTTCGGAAGATTTCCTTCTGATTCTCTCTGCATTCCAATTTCCAAACTAAATTTAGTTTCTTATTTACAAAAACAAATACTCCCTAAAAAC